TATTAAAATTTATAACTGGAGGTTGGCTAAAACGAATGAGGAATTTGGATACCGGTCAAAGTCTAGACAAGCTAGCCCACATTAGGTTAGCGTTAGCTTTGGTCAGTTTTGTCGGGTTTAATGCAAAATCCTGGCATACTAAATCCCATCAGGCCTAAATCCTGTGAATGTAATACTAAGAAGTTATTATTCCGAGAGATTGATTACCCGAAATCTAAGATCCAGATAATAAAATCACAATAATCCTAAAAAGTTATTATTCCGAGATTGATTACCTGAAACTTAAGATTCAGATAATAAAATCTCAATAATCTATAATACCGAATTAATCCTGACAGTTAATAATCCTGAATGTGAAATAATAAAATTTTAAAGCTTTGTATTTGTTGTATGTATGGGATGGAATGAGTAAAATCTCTAAAACAAAATCCAGATAAAGTCATAATCTCGACAAGTTAGCCCGCATTCGCCGTAGTTCGGCCAATTTTTGTCGGGATTTGACCCAGATCCATTTCATATTCTGGATTATTAACTGTCAAGACTTTATCATTCCAGGATTATAATTGCCGGATTTTTATTAAATTGGTATTATAGATTATTGAGATTCTTTTTCTGGATTTTTAGTTTTCAGATAGTCAATCACTCGGGACAATAACTAAGTATTGCGTTCACAGGATTTAGGCCTGTCAGAATTTTGTATTAAACTCGTTTTTGTAAGAATTTTATTTGTCGGGGCCTTGACTCAATCCAATGAATTTGACAGTAGATTCACAATTTCAATAGTTGGGTATTTGTAATTGCAACGTATGCTATATATTAACTCCTATTTGGCATAATTTTTTCGAAAACACATCACTCCAATAAAATTAACTGGTATTTTCTATACCGTATTTTCGCGAAATAACGGGCATGGGCGTTATTTCGAATAATGGCCCGAATTAAGCCTGATTTAGGCCGAAATTCATAATTTCACCCCTGCGCGTTATTTCGCGAAAATACGGTAATTCTTACTGATTTAGTCGGAAATTATAAGTCAAAGTAGATAAAAAAATTACTATTGAACAATTTAGGCGCTGGTGGCCTTTTTTTTTCTCTTGCAATAAATAAATTAATCCGGGTCACCCAAGGTTGAAATCACAATGACCTGGTTAACAGATCTTATATGTGACATTTCTCACTAGTTGACTGTACTTAGTAGTGAGAATTTTTTAGAATAATACGAATAAATATTATTTATGCATTCTTAGGATTTAGCAACCATACACACGCATGAAACTAGTGATGGGCGATCTACTGTTTTTCTAAAAATCCCGCGGGAATGCGAGATCACGCGCGTGATTAGAGGAAAAGGGTTTTTTTCATATTTCGGAATTTTCCGAGAAAGTTTTAAAATTTTACCTCGACAACGGAATACAGTCACAACTGGGTTATATCTTCCTTTTTTCCAGTGCATTTTTAAAGATATAACTAAGGCAGGGATATAACTCAATATATAAAAAGCATATTAAAAAAGGAAATTTATTTTGCTTAAATATTGGAATAAAAGTCAGGTTTGGATATCACCAGTAAGGATATAACTCATGTATGACTGTATTTCGGAACATCGGGCCACTGGCCCGAATTATATATACATATAACCTGCGCATCCCGTGCGAGATCACGCGCGGATCACACTCGTTGCCCATCATAATATGAAACCCATCTCTAACTGTACTACATCCTGTTTCTAAATTTAGTTAAAAACATTATCGGAAAAAAGCAGATTACAACACTTGAAAATTTTATGCGTTACCTCCTACATATATCACCAATATCACCAGTGCACCAGTATTGCCAATGTTGATTAGTGATGTTGCGACCAGGATTTGGAGAGCAATGCTATGCGTAACAAGTTAGCCTTGGGCATAACATAAGTTACGCGAAATAGATTTTATTATGAATATGAATTTAATAATTGTTAAAGAATGTAACTTAATTGGAACATAAAGATTAAAGTACATTATTTTTATTTTTTTATTAATTTGAGCATTGCATTTATACAAAAACTTACGAAGGACTTCAAACCTTCATACGGGTCATTACTAATATAGTCATATATGACAAAATTAATGTAACATTGATGAAATTTGTGCTACACTACTATTTAATTTCAGCCGCGAGATACGTAATTCTTGGAAAATAGTATTTCCGCATTAAGATGTCCCCACATTTTATGCCTTTGAATTATACTACCAATTTGATAGAGAATTAATGCATGCACATTAGTAGGTAATAAAATATAAATTTTCAGCAAGCATATTATTTGACAGGATCGACGAATAGATTAAAATCGTCTCATATTAAATAGATTTTAATATTAAGGTTAGCTTGGAAGGAAGATTTCGGCAAAACTCATACCAAAACTATGAGTATAATTTGTTTCTTAAAGTATCAAGAGCAGTTTCATAGGCGAAGTTATAAATAGAGAACAATTTTTCTCAATTTTGTTGATTAACCTGTAAAACGTTTCGAACGTATGTACAAATTTTCATTCATTTTAAATGTCTATTTGTTGAAAAGTTCATGCGGAATCGATTTAAGCACTAAAGAACGGGGTACATTTTGCCAAGAATTGCGGTACCAATTATTTTGTCCTGAGTACGAAATGTAGCACAATTTTCTTGGCACAGAGAACGTTTATGTGGCCTAGTCACAAATTGCATAATCACAACCTTATATATTCATAACATCTTTTTTCATCTCCCATTACTATAAAACATATAAAATTCGACCTTTATTTAATCACAACTTCATATTATCATGTTTTCCATAAGTGTACGAAATTGGTTGAAACTTTATTAATAATGTTTTCTTGGCGTAGAAGAAAATATAATATTTTTTCTTTACCTTTCCTTCCCTTATCCTACAACAATTAATATTCTTTTTATTTCATAAGGCTTTCATTACTTTTCGCTGGTTAAAAAGTAAACTTTTATTGGAAAAAGTTTTATTTATTAACTAGGTAATTGATATTTTTAACAAGAATTCGCCAATAAAAACGAAAATTTTCCACAAATACTGAAATCATAGTCAATTATTATGGTGTTCACTTCACTTTTTATCTTGTGGATTTTAATTATTGCTGTAAACGGTCAGCAACAATGTGTATCTTACCAATCTCCATACAGCATTACGCCTGGAGCGTATCCAATAATTTGGCAAGTACCTGGAAATGAAGTTTTTAGTACGCCCGAATTCAAACAAGTCAACAGTTCTATCAATTGGAGTATGGTACCCAATATTGCTCCTCGTAAAATGGTCAATGGGAGTTTTGATACGAGTACTTATCCTCCTACCGATCCAGATTGTTGGTGGAGCTTTAGCTCATGCACAATGCCCAATAGTGCCACTGGACTTAAACCTGATTATAGTATTTGCCCTGAACCTGGTAAAAACTCTATTAAATAAATTGTTAAAAATTTTTATGAGTTTCCATATCAAATTGGTTATATGTTTGTTACTAATATTGGACTAATCGTTCTCTGAAGGAACCTGGGGTTTAACATACGATGATGGTCCAAACTGCTCGCATACTGAATTTTATGACTACCTTAAATTTACGCAAAACAACCAAACGGCGTCTATGTTTTTTATTGGATCAAATGTTGCTGATTGGCCCTTCGAAGCTAAGCGTGCTCACACTGATGGTCATATTATTAGTGTTCATACATGGTCTCACCCCTACATGACTACTCTTACTAACGATCAAGTGGTCGCTGAATTATACTATACTAGAAAGGTTATTCATGAAATTGTTGGCGTAACGCCTCTTACATGGCGTCCCGTAAGCATCACTTTAATGATGATATAAAATAGTCGATTAAAACTAGACTTACATTATTTATCTTATTATCTCTCTTAACAGCCTTTTGGTGACTGTGATAATCGTATTCGTGCGATTGCTCAGCAACTCAACTTGGCAACTATTCTCTGGAATATTGGTACGTGAATATTTGGTTGTTAATCAGTGTAAATTTCGCTTTAATCTAACACCAATGATGACATTTATAGACTCTAATGATTGGCAAATGGAACCTGCGGGCAAAAAGACACCGGCGGAAATTGATGCCATTTTTGAAGACTTTGTCAAAATGGGTAAAAATGGTACCTTCTCTAATTCTGGAGCGATATGTTTGCAACATGAGTTAAATAATGGAACTATGTCGAAGGCTCAGCAATGGTTCCCGTCAATAAAGAGTGCTTATAAACATGTTATTCCTGCCGCCATATGCTTAAATATTACTCATCCATATGCTGAAACAAATTACACCTTCCCATCATTTGCTGAGTACATTGACACGTTAAGTAATAGTAGTAGCCCTACAAACCATAGTCCGAGTGGTTCCAATAAAACGTCAACTGCTTCGATAACGAGCTACATCAGCTTAATTTCTACGGTGGTTATCATGCTTATAGCACAATTTTTTAATAACATATTCTAACAATGAAATAATTTAATAAAGGTATTTAGCAATATCTTTATTGTCTTTCGGGCATTTTTTTCGTGATTTTATATTTGGCATATGTTTAAGCAGATTCATAGATTATAAATGTATTTTAGGGGCGTTCATTATAAACTAAATTAAATTAAATAAAAATTTTAAAAGTATATATTTTTACAATTTCATTGCACAAAATGGTTTATATTCACGATCCAAAATAACACAAATTAAACACTTTAGCAGTATTTGTAATAATAAAATCCTGATCCGTTGGGAATTAGCGGAAACTTCGTTCCGCTTATTCACATACGGTCAGGGTATTATTAATTAATCCTCCCGTGATCTTGATATAGTGATCGAGGGATTATAAAAGTTAAATCATTATTTTTTTTGGATTAATTTATAAAAATTATAATGATTAAAGTTGAAAAATAATGAAACATTTGATCGATTTTTCAAAAAAATCCTTAAAAAAAAAAAAAAGGTCTATGAAATGTGCTTCGGTGAAATAAACTTGTGGCGAAATAATTGTCGGTGAAATAGACATGGTGAATTTTTGTCGGTGAAATGTTATGTCTACGAAATGAGTTTCGATGAAGTGATACGTATCCCATTGATATCGGTATCATAGTTATATGGAATAACGTAATTAACTTATTATTATGAAAATTTGGTTGCGGCAATCAGTTATATTTTTAGAATATTGTGTTTATTGGATTTTTTATGCTTTTAAAAGAATCACTTGGTTTGTTGAGATTGTAACGATCGCTTTCATTTTGAAGAATCGAAGAAAAAACATCACTTAATAAATCAATTAATATTTTATTAATACTAAATATTATTATTATCATGATCTTAATCATGATAAATTGACAATACCATATGATTTTCGAAATTTGTTGGGTGGCGATTTTACCCTGGTCGGAAAAGTCTAAACAATCCCCTTTTTACTATCTCGCCAAGATTTATACATACAAAAAATCGGGATTTTCACATCACTAACTGTACTACTTTACTAAATACCTAACCATCCGAACGAAAGATGATAGAGGGCGCGTACTACGTGTAATTATAATATAATATCGGTATGCCTTCAGTTGGTGTAAATCAAGTGAATGGTAGGCTTCCCAGTAGGGATGGGGAAGTTTGGTTTGGTTCGGTTTGGTTTAATTCAAATTTGATTGATGCATGATCTGCATAAGTAAGAA